CGCCAGGACGCTGAGGACATAAAAGATAACCAGACGGTAGAAGTAACGCTTGGAGGCAAGCGGAAGATTGCGTCGTGGCGATTCCATTTCCCCACCTGTCACGACCAGAAGTTCTGGGGCGAAGGTGAAAGGGAACACGGACAGAACGAGGGTTTCCCAAAAGGAGACAAAGCGACCCGTGTCGCCTCCGACGATATAAGGATGTGCTGCGCCTGGATCGTGCCAGTACCTGAAACCCAAACGGTCGTGACTAGGGCCGCCGCCCCAAAAGAGGATGAAGCTGAGGATGAGGAGACCAATCATCAAGATGACCTTTGTTCCTGCGAACCAAAATTCCGTCTCGCCGTAGAATCTGACGGGAAGGAAATTCAGAGCGATGATGACAACCAGCATGATCGTCATCCAGACGGCAATGTTGACGTTGTTAGGCCAATAGTTGATGACCAAACCGGCCGCGGTGATTTCGTACGGGACAAGGATGCCCAGGGCGTACCAATAGAGGTAACCCAATGCAAAGCCCATGGAGCGAGAAACATATCGATAGCCATAGTAAGACATGGTCCCTCCGTGGACGGGTAGATAGGCGGCTACTTCGGTGACGGCGGTCACGACGCAATATACCAGGAAGGTCATGATCACGTAGGCCGCCAATATGAATGCAGGACCGCCTAGAGCGAGCGTCTGACCGGAACCGACAAAGAGACTATGGCGAGAATCTGTCAGCCTCTGTGCTTTCTAAGAATGGTGATTTTGGCAGTGAAAGAAGGTGACCTCTCATTGAAAAACAATACTTCTCCGGGGTGGAGAGCTAAAAGAAACGGAATTTTCGACATACCCAGTCCCAATAGTTCCACCCAGGGCAATCATTTGAGCATGCCTGCTTTTGAGCCCACGGTGAGTGATGGCATATCGCTCATCAAGCAAATCGGCTGCGATAATGGACTCGGTGACAGACGACTTGCGGCCAGTCATGGAAACTTTGCGGTCTTTCTCATCAACTTCGGTGCGGCTCTTGATGGGGTCAATCCCCTTTTCAGCGTCGTACTCGTCGGTGTGTGCCATGTCGATGTCAGGACGTTCCCGCCCTCGACTTGATTTCTCGGTTGGTTGGTGAGGATGTAAGTGGAGGGAGTTGTCCTCCTCAAGATGGCCTTGCAACAAGCCAACAGCCACTTCTTTTAAGAACAAACCACGAGGGATGGGAGAGAGGAGACGAAGGCAGGCCCACGGTTGGGGGGGAACGGGGTCTGGACGACATCTTTATAAGTCGACAGGATCATCTGAGGTGGTAGTGGTAGCAGTAGCATTATAGTAGCGTGCCAGGGATAAGGCTCGAGCTGACGGTCTGGGGTGGACAAGTTGGTTTAGGATTCGAGAGCAAAGCGTGGGCTGTCAGTGGTTGTTGATAACAGAGAGTGGGAAGGACAAGGAAGTGGTTGAAGGGGAAGTCGAAGGCGAGCTGTAAGACGGTTCTCTGGCGGCTTGGCGGCAGTTTTCCCAGTTGCCTTGGCCACCCGCCGTCCACGCCGTTCCCGCTGCATATCTCTCAAGCCTCTCTCTGCGCAGCCCTCACCATTGGCCAACCCGTGTCTCATTGCCAGACGGGATATAATATCCTGTCCCGGACGACGATAAGCATGGGTGAAGCATTTTGCGCATTCTTAACTACCCGCCTCCTCCTAGAGATCCGATCGAGAAATGCCTAGGGCGATCCTCGGATAGAGCTCTTGTACGACCATCCTGACCTACAGTACCTGCAAATCAAAGATACCACTGCATCACACGGGACGTACCGCCGTGTTCGCCATCGAGGCCACCTGCTGAGTGTTTGGTCGGGTGCACGGGGCACCCGAGAATCCACCGCTCGAAGCCGTTGCATATTCCAGAAACGCCAAACACCGTTTCCTTCGAAGCGAGATCTGGGTCGAGCACGAGACTGGTGGTGCTGCAGGGCCATGGATGATTTTTCTCCTCCCCTGCAGCCTCGATACGCCACGTGCCCCTGACCATGCTGCTGGTAGCACATTTCCGCTGCAATAGATATGCTGAGATGAATTTGGCAGGTTCATTGAGACCAGCAGGGACTCGTTCATCTGTGGAGGAGGACCGGCAGATGCGTGGGAGCAGCCTAGAGAAGCTGGTCTGATAGGCGAAGCACCGATCCTGGAATCCCTATCTCAGGCACAGTCCCGGTGGCCACAGAGGAGTTGGCTCGTATCTAATGTCGCCCCACGGTTTCCGAACTCAAAATTCCTGCCGTTCTCAGCAGAAATTGTCATCATTTGTCGGCATCTTCCCATCAAGCCATGTGCTGAAACAGGCCATCTTGAGATCAACAGCCTTGCAGATCAAGCCACGCTCCAGCCCTCGGGGGGGGCGGATATGGACATGTGCGTCACTGTTCTCGACCTTTTGAACATTCGATGCATTCGAGATAACAGATTGTGGCTTGCATCGAGCGCACAAATCCATCTCTCCAGACTCGTTGCCTCTTTGCGTTGCTTCGTTTGCTTACGCTAATTCCGCTCCTGTTCATCTGCTGGATGCAAGGTCTGAATGCCGAATACGTGACAGGTATCAGCCATCCAGAAGGACTGAGGTCGGATGGCTGCAATGCAAAAGCAAACAACAACCTCAAACTCCTGAGATGGCCATTTAGACCAATAAAAGCTGTTTAGTTGTCGTCAGCCATTGACAAGAATGCTCCGCCTCGGACATGACCGCTAGCTCAGACCTTGCTGGCGACCCGGACAGCTCAATCTTGACCAAATGTTCGTCTGTTGCTTCTTGGATGAGTGTGGGTTTCAATCATTTCTGCTGCATGGTGAGTCACCTTCCTATTTGGAGGAACCAACACAGAATCATAGCGATGTTGACAGAAGGTGAGCGAACCGAAGTTGATGGCTACCAGGGCAAAGTATTAAAGCTGGAGTACAGGCGTCACATTACTCGGAATCCCCGTGGGGATCTGGGTCGTGTTTGTTTTAATATTATACGCTGTCTCCAGGTCATTTTCGCATACTGTGAAGCTGAGAAAAGTCCCTGGCCCATGGTTGTACGCAGCAACAAGATTCAGACTGGCACTAGATGCCTGGCGGGCGAAATCCATTCATTCTGTGAACAAGCTCCACAAAAAATACGGGCCTGCTGTGCGAATTGGACCAAATGAGGTCTCATTCAACAGTCTGTCTGCGCTGCGGACGATATATGGGGCTGGAAGTGGCTTCGAGCGGACGTCTTTCTACCAGATGTTTGACGTTTACGGCCGACCAAATCTTTTCACTTTCGCCTCTGGAAAACTCCATCGCGAACGAAAGAAACTGATCAGCCACATTTATGCAAATCAGACCGTGCTCGGGCCCAATGCCTCGCAGCTGGTGAAGAGAAAAGTGGCAGAGTATCTGACGCTTCTAGAACGAGAGCCCGCTCTCGGGAGAGAGATCTTTGCAAGTTTACACTATTTCTCCTTCGATGCCATATCCGAATTCGTGTATGGCCCGGATCATAGAGGAACGTCTGCCTTATCAGGATCCAAGCAGTCCCGAGAACTGATCCAAGACATCCTCAACCCAGCGCGGAGGAGATTGGCATGGTTTGCCGTTTACTTTCCTGCTTACACAAAGTGGATCACGACTCGCACAGGTCTCCTGGAGAGAGTGCTGACCTCTATGGGGCTGATGCCCATGCGCAAGCCTTTCACATATTCCGGAATCCGCCAGCATGCGTTGAAGGCGTTCTACAGCTTCAGAAACGCACCAGGTGCCGTTCAAGCAAAATCTGCTGAGAGCACGGTCATTGGCCGCCTATTCAAAGTACGAAATGATGCTGATTTGTCTGACATGGACATTGCATCCGAATGTGCCGACCATCTCCTGGCTGGAATTGATACGACTTCAGACTCGCTCATGTTCATGATCTGGGCACTTTCGCTACCTCACCACGAGAAATACCAGGACAAGCTCAGGGAGGAGCTGTCGCACATCTCCGTTGACAACCAGGGCTCTCCAGAGCCTAAGGACTTGACACAACTTCCTTACCTGAACGCGGTGGTGCGAGAGTCTCTGCGACTGTACGCACCTCTGCCTGCGTTTGAACCGCGATCTTCACCAGTCGACACGGTAATTGACGGCTATGAGATTCCTGCGGGCACAATCGTGGGCATGTCACCGTACTGCCTACATAGGGATGAGAGCGTTTATCCTGACCCGTTGGCCTTCAGGCCGGAAAGGTGGCTCACAGATTCCGGCACCCTGATCCCCGAGTCGGATCTCAGGAATCGATATTTCTGGGCCTTCTCTAGTGGTGCACGGATGTGTATCGGAATGCATCTAGCTAATGCAGAAATGCTCACGCTCCTAGCTGCCTTGTATCGGAAGTACAAGACATCTGCAACACTTCCCGACACGTCGCCTGGTATCACCAGCAGGTTTGAAATTTTCCATGACGAGACTATGCCCAAGATGGTGGAACATGAGTGTCTGATTGACTTCGCGGAGCTGGGGCCCAGGTGATTGGTCGATGGCCGATGGCAGGGAACCGAAGCCCCATCGATCGTTGAAGGCAGAGCAGACTTTCAAGTGCGAGTGAAGTACAAGAGTGGTTACTGTCCTCGATAGCCACCCGACCTTAAAACAATCAATGCTGAGACGCGTACCAGGCCAAATCCCAATACGCATGCATGAAGCCGTACGTATGCAAATCCACACGGCCAGCACCCGCCAATTCAGTGTGTCCCTGAACCCAGGTCACACAAGCGCGAAAATCTGCTGAGAACGACTTAGGTATCTTCGGCTCTTACACGGCAGGTTGGGAGGGTGTGGCAGACAGGCGTCACAAGATTCTTGCGCCAAACATCCTTCTGTGATCAAGGCGTTTGATGATTTAGTCTTAAATACGCTCTCGAAGAATGATTTACTCCCTTACGGAGAACACCTGTTCACACATCACTCAAATGTCTTCTGTCGTCCTAGTAATTGTCAAGGACGCATCCAACCGCGAGCATGTGCGTTACCGAGATCTGGAGCTATCGCGAGTGCGGATGTTTCTACAATCACAAGGCGCTGTGCCAATCTCACCGAAGAGAGCAGACGCCGTGCTTTGCACCTAACATACAATATCCGTTAGACAAATGGCTCAAAGAAACAGCAGTCGCTGTAGAAGCCTCGTACAAGCAGTTCAGACCACGAGCGAAGCCCACTGAACCCCAGGATTGCCCGAATCACCACATTGTCGAGAAGTCTTTCCTCAATCAAATCTGCGAAGACTGTCTGCTGGCAGAACTCAATGGGATGCCGTCTACTCCCGAGAAGGGTACCAGTGCTCAGGATGTCTCTGCTGCCGTCTTGGACAGTGGAGAAGGACTGATTTGGGATAGCGAGGTGAAGATCGAAATCGAGGACCAAAATTCGGGATTCTCAGCCAGTCCAACGGTGCCAGAGGCGTCAGGGCACAACCGGGGCGTACTAGACGAGGACAGGAGGATCCTGGAAAGCCACGCTGAGATCATAATTGAGGACGAAAGACACTGTCTCTCCGCTGAGATTGCGGCTTCTCCAAGGATCATTGCACGTCCCCAGAGTTGTCGCTCACCACACCCAGTAATAGAGACCTCTTCACCAACCAGCCGCCGTGTTGACTTTCGTCAATCAAGTTCAAGCGCTTCCGGATGCAAGAGATACGGGCGCGCTTTTCACAACATCGATGTCACCGGTTTCGATCCGGATAATGATATTGGTGCTGGCCTTGAGCGGTCCCATCGCAACCCCACACCAATATTTTGTGGAAGGTCTCTGATGCGCTCGAATCAACGCAGCGCCCAGGGATGCGGGCTTGATGCAGATATCCGTCCAGTGGCACCCAGGGCAAGAATCGGGATCAAGAGCCTGCCCAAGTTCCAAAGTCTTAAGAGTCTCTCGACATCTTTCCGCATGGCGCCGAGATCGTTGATCGTCGCTTCGAGCTACGGCCATGACTCACCAACGGATTTGCCGTCCTCATCGAGCTCTGCAGGATCTAGCCCAAAGAATGCATTTCGCAATATTTGCCGTTGCAAAGGTTCATCTCCAACAGAAGAAACAAGCACATCTTGGTTTGGGGGGTTGGAGCAACATTCCCACAATGTCCACCACGAGAGCACTCCGATCCCTGAGGTGCAAGATACGGCGGCCATTCTGCCTCGGAAGTCGAGTCTGAAGAATTTCGCCCTGTTTCTCATGGAAGAATTCACATGGACAAAAGGGATAGCGCAGCCATGGTCAGGCAGCCAGCCAAGGAGTCTTATTCCCAGCCCGACTACATCTCGGTTGCGCAATCGCGCTGCGTCTAGTGAAGAGACGAATTCAACCACTTGGGAATCAGTTTCGCGTTCTGACACTGTCTATGAGACTGCTTCTCGGGCCAGCAGCCCGAAGACCAATGGGACGGGAGACTTGGAAGCGGATGAAGGCCTCATGATCCCGAGCATCCCAAAGTCGTCGACTATGAACACCATGCGAGCAATTATTAGTGGATGCATTGATCGAAATTTTGGGCGCGACGACCAAGACAAGACAGTGGTTCGACCGCCAATGTTAGGCAAGGAGGAGGCTGGACGGCAGGGTCGATGGGCAGATGGTACCGATATAGGCCGGACCGATATGTTTGAATAGCCTATACAGGAGGAGTCATCTGACCAGGAGCGTCCTGAAGGAAAGATTCAGGACTGGGTCCATCTAATACTGTCAACCTCGTCAAGGTCGACAGATTTGGGCCGTCCCTACGTCTCAATCAATCCCCAAAGGATTATCCCAGAGTCACATGGAACCCGGCGTTAGAGGTTGGGTGAGCCTGAGCGATCTAGAAGGTTCGAAGCAGGGCGTGTTTGGCTAGGGAGGGTGTCTTGGATCAAGGGCCAGAAAAGGCGAGAGTCACTGTAGCAAGGTGTCAGGAATGTCTGATTGAATGCGGATGTGACTGTTTTCGAGTCCGACCCTTTCATCAAGGCTGATGCATGTGTTTGAGCAAGCATTATTGAAGATTGCTCTGCATCTCCCGGGCAAGATATTGACTGTGGCCTGTAGGTGTAGACAATGACACGAGTCACAGACGTTGCTGGCAAGAGCCGGCAGTCATCCTCGGCCACGCAGACAGACACAGATGATAAGAAATGAAACAAGCGGGCACAAGGGGCAGCCATACGTGGTCAAATAAAATGCGGCGGCACCAGCGGCCACAGACCCAAAAGAGGCCATCACGTGAGGACATCCCACTGTGTACAAGGAAACATTTGGAGTCGGTCGGTGGAGAGCGAGAACCGCAGGCCAAATTTATTGTTGCTGTTCGTGCCCGTCAACCACCCAACCTGCTCTTAATAATATTTCTTCGGTCGACATCAAGAAGCGATCGACTGCTGTCTGACTGCCGCTGTGCCTTTGCTTCCCTATTACTGTTTCGCACGAGCGACCCTCGACCATCTGCCGGCTCTCAATTTCAATCGGAAGTCGATCCACAGAAGATCAACCAACACGCGCAGGCGAGCATTCCAGTCCTTGGTCAACACAGATTATTGTCTCTTACGGCCCTCGTACTCCCGTTGCATGTGCTAGACCACATCGTCCAACATGTCTGTTCTCCCTGCCGAGGTGCAGGGAGCCTTGACCCAGCTTCTGCAAGCCCTCTCTTCCCCAGACAACACTCTCCGCAGTCAAGCCGAAGAGCAACTCAACAATGACTGGACTCCCAATCGCCCCGAGGTGTTGTTGATGGGCTTGGCCGAACAGTTACAAGCTGCGGCAGACTCATCGGTATGTCGAGACTTCAGAAGGCTCCAATCAGGTGGAGGGGGTGCTAAAGATCTCACCAGACACGATCGTTCGCCGCCGTCTTGTTCCGCAAACAAGCCTCCAAACAGCGCAAGATCCCTCCTGGCACTGACTCCAAGGAACTATTTTGGTCTCTCAGCCTGGAAGCCAAAACCGCCATTCGATCAAAGTTGCTGGAAGGTCTCGCAAGAGAGCAGGTCAACCAAGTCAGGAATAAAATCGGAGACGCAATCGCCGAGATCGCACGGCAATATGTGGATGCCGGTAAGGATCGAGTGACTCGTTCTCCCCGACTCTACTCTGGCTGACATTCTTTGGAGGTACGAACGAGACCTGGGTGGAGCTGCTTCACGCGCTCTTTCAAGCGAGCCAGTCGACCGACGCGGGCATGCGTGAGTGCTCATTCAGGATATTCTCCACCACCCCCGGCATTATTGAGAGAGAGCATGAAGGTGCTGTTCAGGAGGTCTTCCTCAAGGGGTTCAAGGACAGCAGCGTAGAGGTAAGAATGCATTACGGTCGAAAGTGGACCACGAATGCTGACTTGGTCCAGGTCCGACTCTCAGCAATCGAAGCATTTGCCTCGTTCTTTCACTCGGTCAGCAAAAAGACACAGCCGAAGTACTATCCTTTAATACCCGAAATTCTCAACATTCTACCGCCTCTCAAAGAAGCTGGAGATACGGATAATCTATCAAAGGCATTTGTCTCGCTGATTGAACTCGCCGAAATATGCCCGAAAATGTTCAAAGGCCTCTTCAACAATCTTGTCAAGTTCAGCATTTCAGTCATCCAAGAGAAAGAGCTGGGGGATCAGACTCGACAAAACGCTTTGGAGCTTATGGCTACCTTCGCCGAATGGGCGCCTGCCATGTGCAAGAAAGACGAATCCTATGTGAATGATATGGTAACGCAATGTCTTAGCCTGATGACTGACATTGGAATTGATGATGATGACGCCTCAGAGTGGAACGCGACCGAGGATCTTGACAATGAAGAAAACGACATGAACCATGTCGCGGGTGAGCAGTGTATGGACCGCTTGGCCAACAAGCTGGGAGGACAAGTGATGCTTCCTGCAACCTTCACGTGGCTACCGAGAATGATGCATTCTGCCTCCTGGAGAGATCGGCACGCGGCTCTGATGGCTATCTCTGCAATTTCCGAGGGATGTCGAGACCTCATGATCGGCGAACTAGACAAGGTTCTCGAACTGGTGGTGCCATCCTTGAGAGATCCTCATCCACGAGTCAGATTTGCCGGGTGCAATGCTCTTGGCCAGATGAGCACCGATTTTGCCGGGCCCATGCAAGAGAAGTACCATCAAGTGGTGCTGACAAACATCATCCCCGTCCTCGAAGCGCCCGAGCCACGAGTACAAGCACATGCCGCCGCGGCACTGGTCAACTTCTGCGAAGAGGCAGAGAAGTCGATCCTGGAACCGTACTTGGATCAATTACTTGGCCACCTCCTGCAACTCCTGCAGTCTCCCAAACGGTACGTGCAGGAACAAGCACTATCAACGATTGCAACCATCGCCGACTCTGCCGAGGGCGCCTTTATTCGCTACTATGACACCTTGATGCCTCTTCTCTTCAACGTTCTGCGGGCCGAACAATCCAAAGAGTATCGATTACTGCGTGCTAAGGCCATGGAGTGCGCGACGCTCATCGCCTTGGCCGTGGGCAAGGAAAAAATGGGCCAAGACGGCATTACGCTCGTTCAGATTCTTGGTAACATCCAGCAAAACATCACAGATGACGATGACCCACAATCACAATATCTGCTGCACTGCTGGGGACGAATGTGTAGAGTTTTAGGCTCTGATTTCGTCCCTTATCTCCCTGGAGTCATGCCCCCCTTATTGGAGCTTGCGGCAGCCAAAGCAGACATCCAGCTGATAGACAACGAAGACGACGTGCTGGAAGAGGAGGGCTGGGAGTTGGTCCCTTTGAAGGGAAAGGTCATCGGGATCAAGACATCAACGCTTGAGGATAAACACACGGCGATTGAACTTATCACGATCTACGCTCAAATTCTGGAAGCAGACTTCGAGCCTTACGTGGCCGACATCACAGAACGAATCGCTCTGCCTGGATTGTCGTTCTTCTTCCACGATCCCGTACGGGTAGCTTCCGCCAAACTAATTCCTCAATTACTCAACTCGATCAAGAAGCGATACGGCGAGCAATCGCCACAATTGAACGAAATCTGGACGAAATGTTCTGAAAAGGAGATCGAAATCCTCAGCGCCGAGCCTTCAATTGACACACTAGCGGAAATGTTCCAGTGCTTCTACGAGAGTGTCGAAGTGGTAGGCAAGGGCTGCCTGACCCAACAGCACATGGAGCTCTTTGTGCAATCGGTCAAGTCGACGCTGGAAGAGTTCCAGAAACGTGTTCAAGAGCGTGCCGAAGAGAAGGCTGAATCCGCTGCTGCCAACCAAGGCCCGGATGCCGACGAGGAAGATTCCTTGTCTGTACAATACGCCATTGAAGACGACCAGACTCTCCTATCAGACATGAACAAAGCATTCCACACCATATTCAAGAACATGGGGGTTGCATTCCTCCCAACGTGGCAGCAACTCATGCCCTTTTATGACGCGTTTGTCACAAGCGCGGACCCTATGCAGCGACAGTGGGCAATCTGCATCTTTGACGACGTCTTGGAATTCTGCGGGCCACAGTCCTGGCAGTATTCCGACCACATAATCCAACCGCTCATCAATGGGATGAGGGACGAAAATGCGAATAATCGACAAGCAGCCGCATATGGCGTGGGGATTGCAGGACAAAAGGGCGGAGAACAATGGAGTGACTTCGTGGCTGCGAGTATTGACACTCTTTTGCAAATCACGCGTGTCCCTAACGCACGAAGTGACGACGACGTCTTTGCCACGGAGAATGCGTGTGCTGCGGTCGCGAAGATTTTGCATTTCAACGCTGGCAAGGTGGTCAATCCACAGTCGGTGGTGGAACAGTGGCTCGACACGCTGCCCGTGGTAAATGACGAAGAAGCGGCACCGTATGCGTACAGTTTTGTTGCGCAGTTGATTGATCAGTAAGTCGAATATCCCTGCCATGGCCTCGACCGAATTTCCCCTCTTCGTGTCACTAACGGTCCCTTTGCAGGCAAAACCCAGCGGTGTTTGCGAAGGCGGCCCAAGTCTTCCACCACATTGCGCTGGCTCTGGAAGCGGAAATGATCCAAGGTGCGACGGCGAAGAAGATCGTTGAGAGTGCAAAGGTGCTGGTTGGCAAGACGGGTATCAATGCCGAGCAGGTTCTGCAGGGCCTAAGCGAAGATGGACAGAGGACCGTGAGGAGTTATTTTGCCTAATACCCCAGTCTGGCCTGGGAGAGAGGTGAGAAGGGATTGGACAGAGTGCTGCAGAGAGGCAAGGAGAGGATCCCTAGGCAAGGTGGGTGAGAAGAGAGGAGGAGGCCGACGGGGACTGAAAAGGCAGGACGAAGAATGAAACGTAATCTCTCTTCTTTCTGGCTTAGGATGTTATTCGAAGAGGATGATCAGATCGAGTTGGTTGGGGTCCTCTTGTCCTTTTTTCCCCTTTGTTCCACTTCATGACGATACTACTCCAGACGAGCGAGAAGAGCCTCTTCAACACGAACAAGCTTAGCCAGGTCAAGCCAAACTGGGGGATTTTTGAATCAAGCTCGATACAATCAATAGACCATCAGACCGGATCAAATTGCTTCAGTTCAGTTCAGATCAACCAAGTCAAGCCAGTCTGGATCAGCGACGCGAAATATCATTAACGGGACTAAATTGCGTTGCATTGCGAGGCTGGACCATTGACAGTATCGCACCACTATTTATGTACTGCT